GTGTCTATACTTTAGAGGGTCAGACATAGTTTTAGAAGGTTTCACAGACACTAATATGGCAGGTGATCCTGATCATAGAAAATCCACTTCTGGATTTGTGTTTACATTTTCAGGGGGAGCGATATCATGGCAATCAAAGTTGCAAAAGTGCATTGCACTATCAACAACTGAAACCGAGTACATTGTTGCTATAGAAGCAAGAAAAGAAATGATTTAGCTGAAGGGATTTCTTCAAGAGATTGGTCTGCATCAAAAGGAGTATGTAGTCTATTGTGATAGTCAAAGTGCAATAGACTTAAGCAAAAACTCCATGTGTCACTCTCGAATGAAGCATATTGATGTGTGGTACCATTGGATAAAATAGTATGTAGAAAATAAGTCCCTTTATCTGAAAAAGATTTCCATTGACAGAAACCCTTCAGACATGATGACTAAAGTGATTCCCGGTGACAAGTTCGAAATATGCAAAGAACTTGTCAGAATGAGTTCCACTTAGAAGTATGACATCGATCTCCTCCTAGAAGCATGTGTTTGAAGAGGGAGATTTGTGGGGGTCTAGTCCCCATGCAAAGTCAAAAGGCTTTGTGTTTATTCAAATGGCTGCCGCATTCCCAATTTGACAATTAAAAAAAGGGATTCCAAATTTCCTTCATGGCTGTTGCAGTATTACTCTTTTGACAAAGGAAAGGATTGCACCAAAAGTAAAACCTACATTTGTTGACAATGCAAGTAAGCCAGCCGATCAATAGCTTATAGTTTGGAGAAATTTGCGCTACTCCTCTCTTATAAATAGAGGAGGGGATGACCACTCCATGTACACTAACGAGAGGAAAGAACAAAAGGGTTAGAGAAAGAATCTCTCAAGTTTTGAGAATTGGAAAATTCTTTTCTGTAGAGAGTGAGTTTACTGTAATGAGAGTGATACAAAAGTGAGAATTTTTTTGTGAGTGAGCATCTCGAGTTGGCAAAAAATACTCAAGAGTTCTGTGTAAAATTCATTCCTATAGTTGTGATATTTTTTTTCCTCTTGATATGTGATTTTTTTCCGTTAGTGTCCATATTTTTTACTTCTTTCTAAATTTATTGTATATCTATTTTTATCATATGGGTATTATAGCCCCAACAAGTGACATCAAATAACGTGGGGCCCAACACTTTTACGAAGCTATAAGCATTTATATTAACTTTCTAAATTTTAAAGGTGAAATCCAGAAGTTAAAGTGTTAAAGAGAGTGTTTGCAAGAGTTTTTTCAAAATGATTTTGAGTTTTACAATGCCATAATTAATTTTAACATGTTTGGAAATTTATCTTTAAATTCTTTTTTTCTTTTATTTAAGTAAAAAAAGTTACAATCAGAAATAAATTCCAAAAGTGCAAGAAGAGTGCTTCTATCTATTAGTGATGTTATTTTAATTAAATAAAACTATTTTGAACATTCTTCTAAAAAAATTTCTTAAATCCAAAATTACTCAATGAAATATTTTTTCTAATTTTCTTTTCTTAAAACAAATTATAAAAAATACATCTCAATTACTAATTTTGCTATTTAAAAAAAATATAACATATTTTTCAAATATACTCAATTTTTTATTATAATTCACTTCTACTCAAACCCAAAAGCATTTGCAAACACTGCTTTAGATTTGGTTTTATCAAAATTTTGAGCTTCATAAAAAAATTAAAAATAAAGAATATCAAACACCCTCTCACTGTTCTCGTGAGTGGTGACCGCACAGACTGTGACTGAAAGCAGAATCCCCAGCTGCACCTGGGCGGCAGTATTCACTATGGCGGCAGTATTCACTATGGCAGGGAAGAACTCGTGTTTGGATTCCACCACTTTCTCCAATGCCCAGATCAGTGTGGGTGTGGCCATCTCATCTCATGCAGTGGCAAATCATGCGGAGAATCTGTTTAAGCTTAGGGAATAGTCATTCCAGTACTGGCACGAGAGGGTAGCTTTCTTCCTTACTTCTTCCGCTTTTGTAAGTATGACTCTCAAATTCCACCTTTGCTTTTTAATTAAAAAAAGAAAAAAGACAAAAAAAAAGCTTAAAATAACGAAAATCAGCAATTGACTGAATTTATTCCGATATTTTGGAATTAAGTATATTTGATAATATTCAGTATTCAATTCCCTTAAATTAAAAAATTAGTTGAAAAATTTTAATTTTAAATGAAACATATTTTACTTATTGTTAAATATTGAAAATAATTATAGTGAATATTTTTTGTTTTCATTATTAATTAATATCATTATTTATTACTCAAATTTTAAAATTTCAACATAATTATTTTAATACTAAAAATTCAATATTTAAAGTTTTTAACGAAATCCTTAATTTTATGGGTTCGTTAAGGTCAGATACTAAATTAAATATAAATAAAAACATATTTTTTTGTCTATAAGTATGACATCCTGTCGTACATTAATTTTTTGAAAATAATATGATATAATATATAAGAGATTAAAAATTACTATTAAAAAATCTAAATTTAAACCTTTTAAATTAGTGATTTAGGCTGAATAAGTTATTAAAATTAATAATTCTCAAATTATTATAAACAGTATTAGAGCAAAATAATTTTCAAACCTGTTTTATTTGGATATGAATATATATTTGTTATTTGACAAGAATGTCAAGTGTTTAAGTAAAGGAGATTATGATATTTTATCTCACATCAATTTCAAAGAATAATATGATATAATATATAATATATATAAGATATTAGAGATTACAACTGAAAAACTTAGTTTTAATTATTTTGGTATAGTGATTCATATTCAATAAGTTATTAGAATTAATAGTTCCCAAGTCATTATAATAATATAGAGAACAAATTGTTATGATCAATAACTCTCGAATTGTTACAATAATATAGAATATTAATGTTGCTTTGGTAGAGGGGGGAGTGCGGGGGAGTGAGAGAGAGAAGTATGTAAATGTCAATTAGTAACCAGGAAGATAAGCTGTAACTAGAAATTAAATAGTAAGAAGAACCAGTGGTAATTAGGAATAAGTCATCGACATATATATTTATACATATATCCTTAAAAAGTCCTAATCTTTAGAAACCATTAGTTCCGCTGCAATGTCATATATATTCTCCCATCTAACTTGTACTACAAGGCATGCAAGTCATGCATTCCCACCTTACAAACCTAGCCCTTGTTCTCAACTTCTAAGTAACAGAAAATAAAATCTTCTCAACCATGGCTCAATGAAAGTTTCCTTCAGGGGTAAGAAGGAAGAACAGTACCCCAGTAAGGTGGCGCATCACCGGATTGTAGTCCTCTACGTTGAAAACGTAGTTTCCCTCGGCCATCTGCTGTTGGATTGTTCCCCTGGTCTGCTGGAGCTCCGGTTTGCAACCACCACCGATGTGCTCTCCACGGTTTCTTCACCGGAGATTTCTGTGTAACCTGCCGTAGAAACTTGATTGTTCTTGGTGGCTTGCTCCTTGAGCATGGCTTTTAATGCCACGACCTTTCAAATACAACAATTAACATTTGAAGTTAGTAAAGAAGGTAAATAATTCAGAACAACACACTTTTCTGTACATCCTCTCTAATTTCTTGTTGCAGCTTATTGATATCAACAGTGGTCCAGATAATTTTCTTTTAGAAAAAAGAAGTATTTTTTCCCAGGAAAAAAAATTAACTTACATGCTCGCCAGTTATGAGGATCTGAAAATTCTGAAACCTTTTCATGTGTTGCATATTCTTTTGGAGACCAACCCTGGTATACTTGTAAAAAGTACTAGAACTTTTGAGGCTTCTAGGTCTGAAAAAGCCCATCTTACACATCCTTAGCTTCTTTTGTAGAAGGATAAATTTGAAAATTTTCATTTACATGAAAAACAAATTAATCAAAGTGGGTCAAGACCAACTTGATTGTAGCAGACAACTTTTAATTTTGTTTATGAACAATTTCTGAAATTGCAAGTATATGTGCCAAAGATAAACTTTGGAATAGAAAAACAAAAAAGCTTATAATCTCTGACTGTCTGTATTAAATTTGCTAAATATATATTTATTTATTTTCTCTTATTCTCTTTAAGCCCTATGGGTAACGTAGACATGAAAGCAGACAACTCAACAAAATATATGTAAGATTATAAATCAATTTGATCTTATGGGTATGTAAAATGGATAATAATAGTTACCATCTCTAATAATTTATTAAATTTAAATTATTAATTTAAAATATTTAAACACAAATTATTTAAAAAAAATTATCAAAAACCTTATATACCATATGACCTAAATAGTCTTATAAATTAATATTAGACAGGATATCACAATGTTATCCATTTAAGCATTTAATATTCTTATTCATTTAAATTTTTGTTAAGTGTTTTAGTGTAGTAAACTGTAATGTCATATTTTAGGTCATTTTTCCACGTGTAAGATCATATCATATATAAGAGTTTTGAAAATCACTATTAAATTATATGAATTTAATTATTTTAAATTAATAATTTAAAATTAATAAATTATTAAAGTTAGTAATTCATAATTGTTATAGATAATCTAAAATTAAAGTTGAAATTAGGGTATGGAGACGGAGTTTCTCTCCATTGCTTTGTCTCGGACAAATAGCCCCCCGCTCCCAGGACAATTATCTTGCATACGTGGGAATGTTTGTCCAACACGAACTCCAGCTTCAAAAAGTTAGAACAAAAAATGAAAAGTCCGACCGGTGACACCAATTGTCCCATGCCACCCTTTATCTTACAATCAAACAGTCCGATCAAAAGTGGAAGAGTAAAGGAAAAGTTGTAACAAGATCATTAACAAATTATCCCTTTTTTTCCGTGAAATCGAAACTTTTAGATGAAGGTAATGATCAAGAGTTTGCTGTATAAATCTAAGTGGGTAACAAATCTCGTATTCAGATTCACCGCCTACCAATTTATACATTTCCAACTGTTAATCTATTTATGAGACAAGAGAATGCAAATGCCTTACTGAACTGCAAGGTAAGAGAGGCTGTGTTTAACTAACCTCGTCTTGGAGCTTCTGCTTCTCCCTAGAAACAGCGTCAAACTCGAGCTTGAGGGAGTCGTAGAGGCGCTCTAGCTGCTTAGCCTTCCACCTGGCGCGCCTGTTCTGGAACCAAACCGCGACCTGGCGGGGCTGAAGCCCGAGCTCACGAGCCAGCTTCATCTTCCTGTCAGGGTCCAGCTTTATCTCCTCTTGAAAGCTACTCTCCAATGAGTCCAACTGCTCACTTGTCAGTCTCTTCTTCTTCTCCATGGTCAGCTGATTAATATTTATATTAAAATTGTTGCAGTTCTTGCCCATTCCCCCACCACCCCCTGCGACGCTTGTGCGGCCACCACCGGGTACTTGACCTCTAGACCTGTAATTCACAAAGCAGTAATAATAAGTAAATTAGATCTGCTTCACAACCCAGGTTTTTTTTATATTAGGCTTGTAGGCTTTGGCATGTGGACTAAATCGTCATCTCTTTGAATGGGGCGGGGTTGAACAGAGGAGAAAATTTGATTTTGTCAAGGAGCAACTATTGAACAACTTTGCACCGTCTGCATAACGAGGTTTCGGTTTAAACTTTGTGTGTGCTTGCCTGCTCTTTTACGCCTTTAGTGGGAACTACAAAGGGAGGATTTTCCGAGAAGGGGGCAACAAACCCTACTTTCCTCATAAATTGCGGGTCAGGACTTTCTTTGATTGTGATAGAAATGCTGAGGTTTTGTTGGGTCTTCTTATGTTTAAGAGAAAGAAAACAGATACAAAAAGAGATCAAACTCCTTCAACTATTTCCATATGGAGAGTTGAAATTCCAAAGAAAGAAATCCAATGCCTCAAAGCCAAAATATTACTTTTGTTCATCTATTGTTTACTTATATGTATTGTCATGTATAGCAGCATATAAGAAGTGAAATAATTTTTATAGCATCCTCCAATAGAGTTTTTCTTTGCCACCTCATGATACAAATCTATAACCCATTTCCTCTCCAGATAAGCAAGCATCTAGTACTTCAGAGAGAGTTAAAAAAGTTATAATTATCAAACAGTGAAGTATACGAGTAGCTAAGACGAGTCAGAATAAGCTTCTTTCAAATTGTTTGCTAATCAATCCATTAACACGGAACAAACTAGAAGTGATGATGAATGAAAGGGAAAAAGTAGAGAGAGAGAGAGAGAGAGAGAGTTGTCTAACTTACCTGGACAAAGGAGGTCATAGTTATGGCTGTAGAGGAAGCTCAAGGAACTCTCGGGCCGACAAAGAAAAGGGGGTGGTCTTGGGTTATTGCTATTGTAATCCATCTCATCTGTTTTTGGCTTTTCTCTTCTTCTCTCTGCCTCTCTTCCCTTGGACTTAACCCACAGCCCCCCCGTCTATCTCTCTTCTATATGATACATATGCAGACACCTTACTCTTCTGCCCTCTATATATACTGGACCACGCACACGCACACGCACACTCGCAGTATGAGAGAGAGAGAGAGAGAGAGAGAGAGAGAGAGAGGGGGGAGAGAGAGGGGGCGAGAGAGAGAGAGAGGCGTGGCACGAGAGGCTGAAAAGGTTGGCTTTAGGGGGTGCAGGAAAGTTAGAATGAGAGAGATAGATGTAAGGGTTTTTTCTTCGCTTTTGGGCGCAACATGTGAACTGTGTGTGAGAGAAAGGGGAGGGCGTGTTGTCGGTAGAGTGGTATAGAGAGAGAGAGAGAGAGAGAATAACAGGAACCATAGGTCACCATCTGGTCCCCTTAAGTCCTGCCATTTCACAACTCTGACAACATGCCTCCTCTTTCTTCCTCCCCCATCCTACTACTGCTCTCTCTCTCTTTCTCTCTCTCTCTGTGTATACATTTATGCGAAGAGCAATGGATGTCCGCCGACTAATCAGGCCGACGAAGTAATGCCATAGATGTATAGATCCAGTTGTTAATGGGACCGAAACAGGAGTCTCCCACGTACAAATGGTACCATATGTTTTGGACTCTTTCACCCGGCCTAGTGCTGCGGTGGTTGTTTGAATGAACTGGATCGAAACCAATAAGCTGACTTTCTGTGTGAAAATGCACGGTAATTAAAATTACTTGAAATTATCTTTACCACGATGAGCATTGCACTATTGAATTACTTAGCCGGCCAAAGAAGAATTGCTCAGAAGAGTAAGATTTTACACTTTCTAATTCTCGTACGATCAGGAGAATTGTATTAGTACACTTTCTAAATTTAAAAAAGTTAATTTCATAAGGTTGATGAAAAAAGGGTGAAAATTTTACAAGGCCTGAATCCTTTTGCAGTCAAACAAGAAGGAAAAGAGGCTAACTAAAGAGACTGCATGCTGCTTAACGTGGCAAAATGAATTCAGAAAAGGTCACAAAAGGCTGAAAATTTTGAAGAAGGAACTATTTTTTTCCCCATCCCAAACCCACCACCCAAAGAAAAAAAAAAAAACAACACACACACACACACACACATATACATATATGCATGTGTATGTCTGAGCAGCATTAATGATCTGATCAGATGAGTAACATAGAAAAGAGTCATCATTCTTAAAAGTAATTATAAGAATTGAAAAACTTGGACAGGTGTCGAGATACCCACCAAATAGAAGCGTATGTATATGAGAATCTGCAAATGAAAGTCTCCTTGGAATGCTATTTATGGATGGACAAACTTCTTGGCTTGTAGTATGTGAGAGAGAGAAGGGAGAAGTGTACGTTTGTTCATACTGTGGCGAAGCAATCGATAGTTTTACTGGGCAGCATTCGGTAACTTGTGAAACTGGGATCATTTGGATGTGGAAGGGAATAACACAACTTCGCATGCAGGAGTGCACAGTGACATTGGAAGCTCCCATGCATGCCAAGAGGGTCGATGTCAAAATTATTGCCGTTTCTTCTCCATTACCTCTTTCTTTCTAATCTTTTTTCTTTCCGATAATTATATATATATATATATATATACACACACGTGTATATGTATGTATGTATATTTATTAGTGAGAGGAAGGGGGAGGTGGGTGGCAAGAGAGCAAGATTGTATTGGAATTCGAACCGGATCAAGTGGAGAGTAAATCAAAACTGCTAGACGTATTTACTTGGAGTTGTATAATTAAAAAAGTGTATTGGCAGACAATTTTTCGGGCCTTGTTTGATTGTCTACACAAGGGTTCTATGAGAGATTCTTTTTGTCTGTTAAAAGGAGAGATTGGAGGTTTATGGAACAAAAAAGAGAATAAATAGTATGGTTGCGAATAAGAGGTCCTAGAATATGTGGAATAAAAAGGGGAAAACAATTATCAGACAATGAAAATATATTTGATAAGTTCCATATCATCTTATTTTAGTCACAACTTATCATGCTTACTTTTATCACCTTTCCTAGCCTACTTTCCGATCCTTCCCTTTCCTGTTTTATCTTACCTGTAAATCTCATTATTTTCTGTACTCTCACAACTTATTTATCTTAGTTCACCAATCCTTCTAACTATTTCAAGTTACCGAAATCATACTGTATAAATCAATTAAGATGTTACTTGGTTTGGTCTAGTTTAGTTCATATTAAAAAAATTATGTAGTTTAATTTAATATTTGATATTTAAACAAATTATATAACCAAATTAAATTGAAAATTATATAATTAAAAATCCTATATATATAATTTATATTTATATTTATCTTTCCTATTTGATTACGTATTTTTTTCTTTATATTCTCCTTTATTTTAATAGTTCTTCTAATATCTTATTGTTTTCCCTTTTTAAATAGTGATTTTTATTAGTATGATTCAATTCTATTATAATGTATAAAATATATTTTTTTATATAATGTATAACTAATATACTTAATTGATAGACGTTAAATTTGTTAAACTAAATAAGTTGAATAAAAATTTTAAATGCTTAATTTTTAAGGAAGACATTATCGAAATTTTTATAAAAAGAGTAAGCTTGATTTAGTCTATTTTTATAAATCATAAACTAAATTGGAGACGAAACCAATTTATAAACTGTGATTTGATTTGATTTAATTTGATTTAATTTTTAAAAATTACAAATTATAAAATATAATTTGATTTATATTTAAGTATCAAACTCAACTACGAAAACCTCTACCAAACAATCATGTAGATGTTTTGCTACTTTTTAGCTGCACACAACAAGGGTGTCATTTCATCAATATATTTCTCATACTGATCTATATGTGTTTGGTATATAGATTGTTGATTGGAGGTTCCAACTTATGCCCAATACAAAGGCCAAAAAATCTATCTAGAACTGTCAATGTGTCAGATTTTGATCAAATTAACTATATTCGAATCTGAATCAGATTGACTATTTTTATACCTGAATCCAATCCAAAATAATATCTGCATTTGTTAAACCATATCTTAAATCCAATGGAGAATCTGAAATTCAATAAGAAAATCTAGTCTAGTAAAAAAATAATATTGTTTTACATTTAAGTCTAATAACTTTATTTCATCAATTATATTAATCATTAAATTGTCACAACTTAGAAAAGTGAATTCGTCATTGGTGCAAGGGTTAGAATAAATTCCAATCTCACAAGCCTAACATATAATTGAACAAAATCTCATATAAAATCAGAAATAAAATTTAATCTAAAATCTCAACCAAAATGTCAATATAGCCGCAAGAACCTGTCAATAATGAAATGAAGCTATTTACAGATACTAGAAATACAAATGTGACAGAATTGAAATAACTAACTTTTCCAACTAAGAAGGGAAAAACAAAAATAAAAAGATTTCTTCTATGCAGTAGAATCCAATCGAGTTCTGAACTCTAAATCTGGAAAAAAAAAAAAAAAAAAAGAAGTGAGTCAACAAATTCAGTAAATAATAACATGCATTTATGAGAACAATAAATAGGTATAACATGTAAATTAGAACAATTTACAATATAATAAATTATTTATAGATACTAGAAACTTTATAGTATAACAAAGCCATTTACAGTTATTAGAAACTTTACAAACTTTACAATATAATAAATTATTTACAGATATCAAAAATTTTACAATGAACAACTCATTTACAAATATCAGAAACTTTAGGGAGTTTGAAATCCAAAACGGAACATATATCAAAAATTAGAACGGTGACTTACAGTCTACCGAATAACAGAATGGCGACACTCAAACTGTCGGATAACAGAACAGCGACACTTAGTTTGCCGAATAACAAAAATCAGAAGGTGACATCCTTGTATGCCCATATACACATATATACATATACAAGTCTCTCATGTTG